AAGGTGCCAAAGCCTAACCCTTTATTTTTTAAACTTACTATTTATTTATGTGCTTGTTTTATTACATTTACTTAGTGTGTGGGATGGGTGGGTGCATGCCGTTCCATGTGTAGGTCAGAGAACAACAACAACAACAACAACACACACACACACACACACACACACACACACACACACACACACACACACACGCACGCACATACATGCACGCACACACATGGACAGCCCAGAAACACACATGCATGTACACACACACACACACACACACACACACACACACACACACACACACACTAAACTGGCTAGCAGGCCTTTACATTCATAATCTTACTGCTTTGGCCTCCTGAGTAGCTGGGATTACAGGGGTGCATCACTGTAGCTGCTTTGTAAACACAAGCCATGGTACCACTCTTTCCCTAGAGTTAAGAATTTTCCCTTTTGCCTGCTTCCTTCTTTCCCTCCCCCTCCCTTCCTTTCTATGATGCTAAACATAGTTTTGCACACTCTTACGTGGGTTTCCGTATGTTTGTGCAATAGGTGCATGCAGTGCCCATGGAGGCCAGAAGACAGCACTGGATCCCCTGAAACTGGAATTACAGACAGCTGTGAGCTGCCATGTGGGTGCTGGGAATTGAATCTGAGCCTCTGCAAGAGGCCACTGGGTAATAATAACCCACTGGGTAATCTCTGGTGCTCTGAGACAAAGTGCCCTTGCCTCCCCCTTCAGGAGACTGATCTGAGTTCTGACTACCTGGGCTGTCCACCACACTCCATAAGAAAGCTGGTGTGTTTGTTCCTAGAGATCAGTACTCCCTACATGGATTTTAAAAAGGTTCTTGTTGTTCACTCAGCCTCTGGCTTGGGGGTAGAGACAGGTTGTTCATTGACAGAGGGATAAGCCTGGACACCTCAGTACAAAGACCTCTCCTTGTTCTAGGCTGTCCCAGGTCCCTAAGAATGCTCCCTAGAGGCAGAGTGGACACTCATTAAGCCTCAGGGATAACTTGGGTGCCGGATGGCCCACAGTCCATGGTTCTTTTGAGTGGAGACTAAATGAGCATCTAGGAAACTGTCTCTGTCACTTCCTGCTTCACAGTCAGCTCGTAGCCCTGCCATGATCAGAGGCCTTGTCAGGGTCACTCCCTGATATATTGTACAGCTTGGACTTGATACATAAAAAACATTGGATCTCAGGGCTACTTTGTAAAGAGTAATCATCATAGAGTCCACAAGTGGTTTCCAACAGCCTGATCTGAACACCTTCTCATAGGCTAGTACTTGGGGGGGGGGGTCCTGTGTGCTTTGTTATATTATAGTTACTGAGAGGTTTTTGATATATATATGATTCTACAATGTTCTCCCAGACCTAGGTCTTGAGTTCATGGTCCCTCTGCCTCCACCACCCGAGCGCTGGGATCCTACAGCTGGACCATCCTATAAAACAACACAGCAAGTGACCCTGGTGTGTAATAACTGAAAGAGGCCACCAGGGGGAGCTCATGGCAGGCTGTGTTTCCTGATGAGAAGGTTGCAGTTCCAGGGGAGAGCTGGCTTGCTGCAAATTTCTCAGCGATACATTTTGATGTATGTGCTTCTGACATGTCTGTTATATGTCGATTTACTTAATTAAATTAACACCATTAGCATATTGATACAAGGTCATAACAACAGCCTATAGGCATTCCTCAACATCTCCTAGCTACCTGACAGACCTGCCATAAATCAAAACTGTCCTGAGTAGGAAATGTCTTGCT